TAATTTACTTTGGACTACATTTCATGTGTCATTCTAACTCTCTGATATCATTGCTTCTTCACCAAAAGAAATTTCAATTATAAATCAACACGAGCACATCTATAAATTCAGCTGAAGAGGGAGATTAGAGAAGCTTGGTATCAGTTCAATTTTCTAGTCATATTCAGCTCAATGTTTCCTACCAGGATAGGGGAGGGATATAGAGAATGGATTCATTAAGAATCTGTGATGATGTGTTTAAATAGTGCTGTTTTTCTGAAGGCACCGTCCAAGAGTGGAATTCAGCCAGTGATCATTTGTTAAAACTGCTCAAGGGTTTGAGAGCAGCAATCATTTATCTGAGTAAGGATTGCAAACTGCATTTTTATCCTTCTGCAGGCTCCTAATGGCTTGGAAATTGAAAGTTTCATTTTTGCTCCAGCAAATGTATGTAATAGCATTAATGATCACCTTCATTGCCTTGTTACATCTGCTCCTACCAGTGTTCAACCAACACCTACTGGCCAAGAACTAGCAATTCCAGGGAAAAGTCAATTTGCTGAGATGTTTTCACTCTCAGAATCACATGGGAAGTGTATTATGGTTATATTTAGAAAATACTCAATAAATGAAATCTGCATCTGCTGAAGTCTCAGCAAGATGGTGCATGAAAATATTTGCAGTCCAACACCAAGAAAGTGTTCATGGCTGAGAGGATATTTGCAGGGATGAATGCTGCCAGATGCAAGGGAACTGAATGTTAAAGGAATGTGATTCCCCAGTTAATGAAAGCAGTTATATTTTATAAAGTCTCAGACCACAGCAGAAATCACCAAATCAAAAGTTTCTTAAAGGAATTTGTTTGGAAAACAAAAATTTTAAAAAATTCTAATAAAGGCTGATAACAAGGTAATAATATGGTAAATTTTTGTATCCTTGAAGTTAAAACCACACACATTCTCTTTTTATATACACATGGATAAAACCTTCATCTATATTTATATGCTGGTTATGCAAGTGACTTCTTGTAAATTAGGCAGCCAAGCAATCATGTCATTAGGTAATACATGCATTTTGAAAAGCTAACTAAATACATATTTTTAGTGATTTGAATGAGAAAAGTTGTGTGACATTTACACAAGGAGGAGGAGATGGAGTTGTGGTCTCTGGATGGAAACTGTTATTATCCATATTAGCAATGAGAGATGTGGCATTTGGGCCAGAAATGGAAAAGTCTGCTCCTTCCATGGCTGGATTTTTATAACACATTCCTGCAGGAGCTAAAATTCCTCTTATCAGACGTCATAAACCCTGCTCTCACAATTCCTGCATCTGTGATATCCCATCTATTTTTGTGGAGACTTAACTGGGTGCACTTAAAGGCCATGGAATTTTCACCTCTAGGTGGGATAGGGATCCTTGTGTGATGAAAGGCAAAAACAGTCCAAGGAGAAAAAAACCTGGCAGAGGAAGGTGAAATAAAACCTCATTCTCTTCAGAATTAGATGAATCGATGAGATTATATTTGCAAAGGTAAGTACTGGGACTAAGACCTGTTCTTTAATCTTCCAGAAGAATGTGATGAGTGGGTGTTAATTACCATTCTACATGTTCTCTTCTGCTTGTAAGAGTTTGATAAGTAGAATGTTAACATTTGGTTTCCACTTACATTTTATTGTCCGCCCAGTTTCTCTGTTATTCACTCTTCTCTGATGTTTTTTTAACTGCTATATTTTTTTAAAAAGAGATACATGGTTTTCCTGTTGCCGGACAGCAGCTTAGATCAAGGCCAATATATATTTCCACATCATTTTATCTTATGGAATGAAATGGAACTGTACTGATAAATCTTTCTGATCTAAATACTTCACCTTGCAGAATGAAAATGCCTCCTTCAGTTCATAGATAGTAAATTTTTACCACAAAAAAAAGTTGACCCAATAAAGTATTATATAGATAATATAGTTTACATCTCAACACGGGACAAACCTTAGCTTCACAGTTTGGACCTGTTGCAAATTATCAGGGAAGAAATAGGAAAAAAGCCATGTTTTCCCCAGAAATGGTACTTTACCAACATAGGAATAAACACACTCACATGTGCAGCATTAGCGACTGTTTTTAATTGCTCAAATGAAGGTAAAAGATTTAATTGCAAAGTTTGCTACAGATTTTTGCCATCTTTTAACCAACTTCATTTCCAAACATTTGTATTTATTGAAATGCAGAGGAAAAACAATAAAATAGAATCAAATGTAAAATAGATTTAAGGTCCAACTGGCTTTTTGATGTTCAAAATTATTTTACCTTATAAATTCTTTGATTTTTCTATTGCCTAGAAGGAACAAAGAAAGCCAGAATTCACAGTGAAAATTAGTTTCACTCAAGGACAGAATGATTTCAACAGAATTGGAAGCAGAAAATATTCCAGACAATATAATTGGCATCCCTGCCCATGGCAGAAGGGTTGGAGGCAGATGATGTTTAATATCAAGTAATTCCATAATCCTATGCTACAAATACTTCAGCAGCAGGTAAAAAGGTAAAAAGACACCTAATGATGTGTGCTTGAATTTTTTGAATCATCCACTTGTTGATTTAAATCAAAATGAAGTGTTTAAAGGAGCATCAGATGTTCAAGATTTGATTCACACAATGATTTGTGCACCACCAAAGCAGAGTGGGATCCAGTCACACTTTAGGTGTAGCTGGTGGTAAAGGCATGATGGGACATTCTGCTCCTCCCTGCCTGGTCTCCATCCTGCTGCCAAGAGTCTTCTCCAACATCCATCAGTGGGAATACAATCATGTGGATGATACAAAGGAAAATGAAGGCACCCCACACGCAAAGCCAAAAACTAAGAAAAAAATGGGGTTGGTAGCTGTAGGGATAGAGTGCACAAGGGAAGGGGAGGGACACAGAGCTGAGATAAATGAAACAAGGAAAGAAGGGAATAAATCTTCTCCTTTCAGCCTGGGTTGTCTTCTGCTTTCCCCTTCAGGCACTCAGGAGGGTGTGTGGCCCTCACCCCCATGCTGGCACAGAACCCTGGCCACGCTCAGCATCACAGGCAGGTGACAGTGCCAAGAGTCATCTGAGCTGGCTCCACTGGCTCTGCCAATGTGGCTGCTCTGTCCCAGGGCCAAACACCTGCAAAGCCCCCTGCAGTGAGCAGCTGGGCCAAGGGATGGCTGGAATTCAGCTCCCAGCTTGTGGATCTTGTGGGATGTGACCCTCCCCATTCACCAGGGGAGCTGGGCAGATAGTCCTGGGCAGGGCAGATAGGAGTTGAATTTGGGCCTGTGACATCCCCACAGTTTGTTTGATGGTGAGTGCCCTGAGGCACCTCATTTTTAGGGAGCTCTAGGAGAGGCTTTTCTGCAAAAGGGTTGGAGTGGAGTCAAAATGAATAATAGCCTGTGCAGCCTCTGAGCACTGCTGGAGCCACTAAGTATTAACAAACAGAATTAACGTTTACAGGTTAAAGATCTGTTTGCTTGGTGGTTATTTTTCAGCATTAAACATAATTTATGGCTGGCTGATTTATGGACATGGAGTCATTTAAGATATTAAACAGCACCAAGTAGCTGCTTCATCGCTGCTGAGAAGCTCCAAGTCCTGGGCTCCCTGTGCCATCCCTCTGAAACAAAGGCCCCATTAATAAACTGCTCTGCACAGAACCAGAAAGGCCTGAGCATTGCGGCCTCCTCATTGCAGAGGTAATAGACTTAATAATGAACAAACCACACTGAAATTGTTTGAGGCTATTATTTTTAGTAATGTATGTGCCTCACTGGAGCTCTGCATGTGGTAAGCCCAGCTCAAGGAAAACATTCCATGGTTATTTACATCACAGTCTGTTCTATTTTTCTGTAAAAACACCCAGACAAAAGCTTCCAAAGGACAAGGTGCCCAGGTCAGAGCCAGTTATTATTTAAGAAAATATTGTTGGAATCAATGAGAAGTGGTGTAGTGGAAGGACAAACTGTGGCTGCAGTCTCTCATGGTTTCATTCCACATCTGTCTCTACAAGACACAACTCACACCCTTTCTCAGCCCTTTAGGGGTTACTTGAGTGGAATGATTTGGATGGGATGGGGGAGCAAAAAAATTGCTTGCATCAGGTTTTCTTATAGACCTAAAATTTTGGCAGGCATTATAGAAAACTTTGAAATTGCCAAATATTTCAGGGGAACTTGGGGTAAGTACTGAGCGAACTTTAATACACCTCCTGGGATCTGCATAAGGACTTATTGTAGCTATTTGAAACCAAACTAAATATAGAGATTTTGCATAGTTCCAATTCCAAGTCAGACTGTGCTGGCAGATCAAGCTGGGTTCTCCTTTGGGCTCTCAGTTTTGTTTGAATCTGAAACTCTGAGCAAAACTCAGGAGATGCAAACACATGCAGACAGCTTCCCCCTGAAGTGCTAACTGACTTGTGAACCAAAACCCAGTTGAACTCCAGTCTATTTAAAATCCGTCAGGAGAACACTTAGCTAAGGACAAGTTTTTATTGCCTTACACACAGAAAAGGGAGATAAAATGGCAGCACAGCACCAACCACACAAAAGCATTTTTAGAGAACAATGAGAGTCTCCATCCTCCATACAATACATTTTGTTAGAGGGTGTCACATCATCTCCTTGAACATCTGTACAGCTCTGAAGAGTCTGGAAATGGATAGCAATAGGTCTTCCACAATCCAAATGAGATTATTTACACCTACCATGGTATGGTAGAATGGCTAGACACAAATTAAATTTAACGAATTCATATAATCTAAGCTGTGATTTCACCTGTGGACTTAGAACATTTCTAGAACCTCTGCACTTTCTACCTGCCTTCCTCATTCTTCTCCAAGACAACCCATTTTTAAAGAAATTTTGAGCAAAGAGCCTGCTGACCACCTTCCTTCTGCTCTGGGCTGCCAGACCTGTGATTTCCATGGTGATACTTCAGTGATAAACACAGACAAAAATGCTGCAACACTGTCAAAGCTCTCCTTAGAAAACAAAAATAATGTTTATAGTGAAAGCTGTTCATAGAAAACAGAAAAGAAAATATTTGAAATTAGGATGGTTTGACTGTGTGGCAGTTACACACAGCCTGGTGAGTAAGATGTACTGGCCAGTGCATGCAGGAGGTGATGAGGGTGAACACTTGGGCAGCACAGAAGTAATCTGTACAAGGCAGGTTCCCCCTGTGAGGAGGGGAAGGACAGAAGAGCCTGGCTCTTACTAAAGAGAACATCTGTCCAGTGACTGTCCAGTTCAGGCAGGTTAACAGCTGGGTGTGCAGGGTAATTAACATTTACAGGTGTGTTTGCTGTGTGTGTATGGAGCATTCACCTGTCAGCTCTGAGCCCTGGCTCCTTAGCTCTGTCCCCGTGGTCCTCCTGATCCCATGAAGCAACAGCTCATTTAACAAAGGCTGGACATCCCCCAAAGTACTCAGATGCACTAAACAGCTTTTAAAAAAGCTTATTTTGCGATGTAAAGAGTTGCAGCTATATAAATAAGCAATTTTCAGAGTCACCCAGAAGCAAAGACAGGCCAGAGGAAAAAGTGATGATGTAATAGCCGAGATAAATTTACTGGAGAAAAGTGATGCTGGGTCTGCAGGGGAAGCAGATGTACAATGGCCATGTCAAGAGATGGAACAGGAATGGCCAGTGTGGGACTTCTGAAAAATAATAAAAAAGAACCAGAATGGTTTGAGCCCAGCTTTAAGGTTCCTGCATTCCAGTCACTCTTTAGCAGTTCAGCAAACACACCACGGAAAGCACCTTGTCCTCTACCACCATGAGAGATTCCTTTCTCAGATGGAATCTATCTCCAGGGCCACAGTTCGAACCACATTTCTGATGAAGGGTCTTCAACCTTAAGAATTGTTACAAAGTTAAATTCATTCCCATCATAATTACCATGCCTGTGTTAACAGATGGGCAGCTGAGGTTGTGGGAGTATTATATGTTCAAGGTCACACAGGAAATCTAAGGCAGAGCCCTGGTAGGAACACAAGTCTCCAGAGCCCAGACCTAATGCTTGAAGCCCAAAGCTTCCCTCAAACAGCCCAGCTGGCAGCTCACTCATGGAGTACAGCAGGTAAGAGCTGACATTCCAAGTCCTTTCAGTTCATGTTATTAGCATAGAGCAGCAAAGACGCGTGCAGTGGAGTATTGGCAGCCAAAGGGATAAGTGATAATTGTAACCGAAAGTGTTTGTGTTTCTGGCCATCTGTTTGCAAATAATCCAAATTATTACTTTTAGGAGTGCTGGTTCTGCCTTAGCTGTGTTTCTGGGGTAGGGCAGCTCTCCTCCAGCAGTGGGTGGCTGAGAAAAACCAATTCCTTCTGGAAAAAAAACCAGAAAAAATTTTATATACTTCTAATTCATCCTACTGATACAATACCAGACCTTTACATCCACAAGTTTCCTATTAAACAGAACCATAAAATCTGGAGGATAAGAAATATCAGAGCGCATTAAGAGAGCAAAGGTACAAATGACACACACAGACCTGAGCATGTGAATCTTTTGCTTTCTAAGGTTTAAATCTCTCCTGCTGTAATTACTGCAGAAGAAAACCAGCAGCACCCCTTTCCCTCCACATGCAAGGTACCTGCTCTGCTTTCCTCTCTCGGACACCCACACAAACAATTTAATTCCTACCAACCCAAAGTGCTTGAGTTTCCAGGCAGTGACAGGAATGAGCCCTGTCTTCTCACGTGCTCTGGGACAACAACAAGAGCTGCAGGAGAACACAGACCAGAGCAAGCAGGGATTGCTGCTCAGGAGATACAAGCCATGAAATCACTATTTCCAGGCACATGGAGCATGCAGGAGCTCAGGACCTCTGAACAACAAATCAATATGATTTCACAGAAGCCATTTATTGTTTGCATTACACACTTACTTATACATTCTAGAACTACTGTTCACATGATCACATGTCTTTTCATTGGTGCCCCTGTCCTGTTCACGCACTCTGCACACACACATTGGGGCACAGGATTGGTCACAGTCCAGGTGTTCAACTGCCCTCTGTTATCTGGCTCTTGTGGTCCTGTTTTTCAGCCTTTTCTTTCTTGTTTTTAGAATAGATTATGTCTCAGCAACCTTGAGAAATTCCAGAGGGTCTGATAATAAACTCTAAATATGGTTTGGCTGGAGGACGTCATGGCCAAAGCTGTTCAGATACATTGCTACAGAGTGTCTTTCCCACTTGCAGCAGGAAAGGCAAAGAGAAGGGAGCTCCTCTCCACCCAGAGGAACGGGTCAGGGCTGAGGACGGCCTGAGGTTCAGCACCAAAGCTGAGGAAGAAAGGATGTCCCTCTGCCACTGAGTTTTGGTAGGAATTTGCTGTAAAACAAAACTCAGTCTAACTTTTCCTTTGGCTCTCACAGGTGTCCTCCATGGAATATTCCCTCCCTAAACTGCAAGTATTTTCCTCTACTGCACTAAGATACCTTCTACATATAAAAAGCCTATGAATTGAGTGGCAAAACAAGTTATACATTCTGATTTATTGTCTGCTTTGGCTCAAACCAACAGGACTATAGATTAAGGAGGGAAAAAACCCTGTGCTGTCTTTGTATTTATAACCTTGTCATTTAAACACTTGGCAGCCTTTCAGCTGCTCCATATGGTCACTGTATTAAGCTTTACCATAAAAGGAACTAAGCAGCGAAGTCGAAAGAAAGCTGATATTTTATGGCTTAAAAGTCTGGCAGGAAAAATAATAATCAAGACAAATTCTCAATAATGGCCATTTGTGGTACCTCAGGAACTTTAAAGGCTTTGTAATAAAACACTGTCATCCTTAAACTCTGCTGGCAGACTGTCTTCAGACAAGAGGGCTTGGAATACACACATCAAGGCTACTGGTAACCTTGTGTCTCACAGAAACAGGATTTTTTTTTCAGGAGGTGACATCAGAAGGAGACAAATTTAGAATTTAGAAACTGGGAAAATTCTGTGCTATTGAAAGGATAGAATAAAGGCAAAAAAAATAAAATCCTCTGGAAGAAAGTTTGGAAATGGGTGGTAATGGTTCTTCCACAATCCTAATGTGAGAATTTATATTTACCAGAGTATTATAATATGAAGACAAACTAAATGTAAAAAATTCCCATCACAAATGCACTGTTAGGTGTATTTCTGTACACATTTGCAGTTGATGTGTCAGCACCTGTCTGCAGATGAGACATCTCTTCCCCTAAACTGCTCTTTTTTGGCAGAATTCAGAGTAAATGCCCTGCTAAAGTAAATAATGAGAAAACCAAACTACTCAGGCTGAAGCTCAATCTTCCATCACTAAACTTGTGTCAGCTTTGCAGGTTTAGAAGTTCATGGTTGTTATTAAGGAGTTGAACATTTTTTTGTTCTTTGAGACAAAAAATATTTATCATTGGCTAATTTTTTTATCACAGGGTTTTCCTCTGAAATACACCCCAGCTATTGACAAGAGGCAGCTGAAACAACTCCCACAGAAGCATCTCCTCACAGCCCCGTGGCACCTCCCAGGAACAGGAACCCTCATCTGTGGAGAACAAATCAGAACTGTCCCCCCCCATGAACCTTCTCACTTTCAGATTAGAATCAAAAATACCACACACCACACTTCCTATTTCTAAACATCATCTGTGACTATTTGCAATGTAAATAATCTTCAGTAGGAAAAATTGCTTATCCTGCGCAATAATCCTTTGCTTCCCCTGGAGAAACTGGGTCTGGATATGGCCCTGACACTGCACATGCAGAAAATAAATAAATTTTTGTGCAGTATCTTCATTTGGGGGTGGAGAGAGAGGGGGCATAATTAAATTAATAAAAAAAAAATCAAAAATCCTTTTGAACTCAGTATTTTTCCTTGCTGTGAAGCCCCCAGAATGTTTCCCATTATTTTCTCTTGTTACCCACAGTGCAAATGAGGAGCTGAAATATCAAATTGCCCTACTGTGTTGGACCAGAGCTACCCAAATCCTGATATTCAATATTCCCAAATTCTATACATACATGTTCCAGTCATATTTTGACAATCTCACCAGGAAACAGAGGCAATCAGCCACCACCTACTGTCAGAGGAGAATTCACATTTTACATTAATAAACATACAATTCAGAAGATTACTATCTATAACAACAAAACTTCTGGCTTGTTGCATATAAAAGATTCACAGAAGATAACAGTTCTCCCATAACTCCAACAAATTCCAGTTGCTTTGCTAACTACTGCCCTCTTCTATGCTTTGGAATATTAATTTTCTTGTATGAAATGTCCAATTATGTCTAATTATCCTTCAGGATAATCTCTGCTACTCTTTTGGATCACTCAGGGTATTGCTAAGCGGAGTGATCTTTCCTGAGAAACTTCTGAACTATTTACATGCACAAAAAGAAATTCCCAATGGAATTCATCTGGTCTATATTAATCAAAGAATCCATTTCTGTAAACATTTGCACATACTTTTTTTCAGTGTGATTATGGGATACTATGAGTGAACAAACCGGTTTGGATTAGAAAATCACCACCATCATCTCCTGCTCGTGAAATGGCTCTGCAAAAATCAGTCTGTGCTATTGCCTAGTAAGGAATCCTTAGGTAAATATCACTCCAAGGCTTTATTGTGGGGTGGGCTACAGAATCCTGGAATGGCTTAGGTTGTTAAAGACCTCCAAAAATCCTCTTGTCCCAAGCCCTGCCCTGGGCAGGGGCAGCTCCCACCAGCCCAGGTTGTTCAGTGCAACCCCCTGAGCACAGCCTGTGAACAGATATTTATGCCTGTGGCTGATTGACCATTTCAAAGGAAATACCCAAAAATTAAAACAAATCAAATCAAATCAATCCAAACTTAAGTCATGGGTGCAGCAGAGAAAGCAGAACTGACAGACTGGAAACCTTACTAGTACTTATGCATGTTTCATTTGTCTTTGGCATGCCAAAACACTTGGGAGTAAATTGTTGTTTTAAATACTTGTATATTCTGAAATTCAAAGTAACTCATCAATGAAACATGAAGTTTGTCAGTACTCTCATTACCTTTGTGCTCAAAAAATTCATAAATAAATAAATAAATACACCTCCTTGATGTTAAATGTTTATCCGTCTTGCTTTTTTTTTGACAATGATTTGATAGTACATTAGTAATGAAAGGTGGAAAATAATCAGAATCTTAGCAAAAATGCTTAATTCATGAGACGAACACACAAAAGAGTTGCAGTAATTAATAGAAATTCAATGTCTTATCAGATTATCGCTGCAAGTCCCTGTCTTTCTCAGCTGGATCCAGGAAATATTTAAAAGACATAACACACAAAATAATTCATGAGCTTGTACTTTTTCTGAAGGCATGAGGATGTGGCTGCACTTTCAAACTTGTGTCATTTTTTGGTGCAATTAATCTGCTTTCCAAAAGTTGCTGGTTTTGAGACCAATGCCCTATTGTTGACTTATATAGATAATCCTAGGCTGCATTGGGACAAAAGAATTATGCACATATTTTCGTTTAGCTTGGGTGTGGACACATTTCTATTCCATTTATAAAACCCCAAAATGCATCCAGCTTCTGCCTCACTTTTATCAGAGGGCCTTTTGCTTGTGGGCAAACCCTGGTTGATGTATTTGACAAAACTGAGTAGGAGTTCAGCTGTTGGTGTGACAGAATAAAGCACTGAAAAGTTTTCACTGTGGTCTTAGCACTAAACTTGCTGCTACGAAATCAGTTTACAGGCCGCAATTTTGACCATGTGAGGAACTCTAAATGAGATATGACATTTATTACTGAAGCAGGATGCAAAGTGTGATTTCCTTTCCCAAATACTATCTTAAAACATAGATAATATGTTATGCCAGGAAATGTATAATATGTTATACATGCATAGATATCTCCCAAACATCAGAAGTAAACTTTAAAATAACCTCTCAAATTGAACCAGCCAGGCTGAGAAAACACTGGGAAAATCTTACTGCATCTGCTCATGTGAATATTTTTTGGTATGGGAGAGCTCAAGGCAATTAAACATGCTGATTCTGACCATGAAGATGAAATTACTGACATTAAAGCTAAATCTTAATGCACTTAATACTTTAAAACCAGTGCTGCCACATAATGGCATGCAGTGACAAGTGACACATACATGTGTCATGTCTGGGGAGTTTCCCTGTTCACATTTGCTCTTTCCATTTATAAAACCCCCAATTTCCTCCCCATGAACCTTGGTTTATCTTGAAAGCACTGTCCAAACAGTAACACCCAATATACCTGTACTGTAGCTGTGAAATACCAGGAGGTTATAAACCAGAAACACTGTGAGAGTTTTCTTTCAAAGGTTGTACTGACCATGTTTGATTCTTCATGGAAATAAACACTTGATGTTTGCATGTTTAATGAAGACATGCATTACTTGATGTAATGCATGTCTTCATTAAAATATTAAATTATCTTAAATTAAAATTAGCTTATAATTCTGTATTCACCCCTTTAGACACAGCAGTTCTCTCCATATTGACAGAACAGCAGATTTTAGATTATTTTCTGCAAAGAAGAGTGAGTGTGGCAAGTGCCTGACTTTCCCACAACCTGGACAAAAATAGCTTTCCCCTTAAGCAGCACACTTCCCAGCATGGAATTGCAAAGAGAGGTAGTTAAAATGGGGAGAAAATCCTTCACCACTCTTTTCTCAGCACAGCTTTGCCTTCTGGAAGCAAAGATCTGGGGGTCTCCCTACTCAATTACACAACACAAATCTCCTAAAGTCTGCAAACTTTGTACTAAGGAAATGCTAGATTTGAAGCTGTTACAGTTAAATGAATAAGACAAAATCTGATGAGTGCAGATCATTCTTGTACATCAGCTCCAGAATGGTAAATTGTACTTACCATAAATAAAAAACAAATGAGTGACAAATTGCCCAGAAGACTTTGAAAAAGTGTTTGATAAGTGGTGTATTTTGGTTATTTTTGTCCTGCAATACTTGAAGAAAATATTATACACTGAGATGCCAAAAGCTGAGGACCACACTCTGACTGGACACTGAGTGGCAAACAGGAAAAATGCTGGACAGTCCCAGTGCTGGGATTGATACCAGAGGTTAGGCAGAGCAGATGGGAGGTAACTGAGACCTGTACCAGTTTGGTTTGTACAGAATTAGTAAATCTCTTCTGCTATCTCCCCTTCCTCAGACTGGATCTACAGTAACAACCCCTGTTGGGAACTGCTTTCATAGAAACCTTATTTCTTGTGAAGATGTTGAAGATAACTTAAATTGTCTCTTACCCAGAGGCTCTTAAATGCAATCAATATCTACTAACACCATGAGCTATTAATCAAAGAGGGGTGACATATTCTTATTTGACCTTTATGAGCAAACCCTCTTACTGATGATACTTTACTGCTTAACACTACCATTTCGTTCCGACATTATTCATCTTTGGAGAAACTACAAGCCCACAGAAATCAATGGCATAAAGGACAGAATTTCACCCTTGAGGTATGGATTCAGGATTATGCAACGCAAGCTTGCAACACCTGCAGGTTTATAAGCAGGGAAGCTGCATTTATGTGTTAACCCAACACATATATTGACACTGAGCAGCTATTTCTGATCCTTCATTGTTCCCTGGCAGGGTGGGCAGGCCCTGGCACAGGGTGCCCAGAGCAGCTGGGGCTGCCCCTGGATCCCTGGCAGTGCCCAAGGCCAGGTTGGACACTGGGGCTGGAGCAGTCTGGGACAGTGGAAGGTGTCACTGCCATGGCAGGGGTGGCACTGGATGGATTTAAGATCCCTTCTCACCCAGGCCTCTGTGGCCTCACGAAGTGATAATGTGATGCTCAGATTTCATTCCTGCACCTCAAATTAAAATACCTGTTCACCTGTGTGGGCATATCCCTGTCTGCTGAGGAGCAGCCAAGAGCAGGAGCACTGCAGCTCTGAAGCCAATACCTTGTAACACCATGAAAATTAAAACACAGATTTTAATGGAATATAAATATTGTCCATAAGAGATGGGAAGATATAATGTATTGTTTTATACCAAGCTGTTAAATATAATTCAGAGTAATATATCTTCAGCTGTAGAGGGTGTTTACACTTGTTATATCATCACAAATAAAACAATGAGCTCATCAACTAGTGTTTAGTGGCTTAGCATCTTAAGTACATTTTACTTAAGTAATCCAGTAAGGGAGAAGACCAGCTATTATGTCTTTTATACATGGGGAACAAAACATATCTCTGTAAAGCAATGTGCCCCAGCTTCTCAGATGATCACTGATTCTGAAGTAACTGGTCCCTTACATGTAGAAATTGTATCATTTTTAAGTTAGACAAATGCTAAAAAAATTCTTATACTTCAGTTTTAGAATCAGACACTTTGCCATTTTTCCCCCTGCATTTATACACAGCACACTTATTTAATATGTAAAGATTGTGTAAAACAGGGTCAAATTTTATTCTTGGATGTGTATGAACTTTTCCATGGGTGAAAATGGTGTGGAAAGCATATAAATGTCAGGGGAGCCTGTGGGAAATACACTGCAATAATAGTCATAGGGTCAGTCAAAAAACATAGAGTTATGGAACAGCTTGGGTTGGAAGGGTCAGAATCAGAGAATCACAGAATATTCCAAGTTGGAAGGGATCAAGTCCAACCCGTGGACTTGACAGTCACTCTGACAGTCTCACCCTGTGCCTGAGAGATGAACTGAACTGAAAATAAAGGAGAAAAGGGAGAAAATCAGCTAATTCATGGAAGAATGATACCTGCTGTTTGCAATGAATATTACAATGAATTGTGCAAATCCAGAACC